GTGTAATAATGGAGGTGATGGCGGTAAAAATGTAGTTATAACATTATATATTGATGTTTATGCATTAATATTTTTCAATTCATTCAACATTAAGTATGAATCTTGTTACTCAAAATTTTCTTAACTTCTGGTCTATATTTTAAAATTCACTTAATTTTTTAAGTATTATAAATTGTAGTTATTAAACAAAATTAATTGATTTTTACTTAATACCTCAAGTTTTAAATTTTACTTTGATTCATCATTTTAGATTATCTATCTTGATTTATACTATATATAAAGTAAACACTTATGGTGTCTTGAAAACTTGGTTTCTTATGCGGCCATGCATTCATTTTTTTTATTTAAAAAAAAAAAAAAAAAAAAAAAAATTGATGAGAGGAGAGGACTTGAATCTTGGACTTATGTCAAATGAAAAAGATTTTTATCACTTCATTAGCACACAATATATAATAAATAATTTATTTTATTTTTACTTATTTGAATTGCACACTCATCGCATGTGCCATCCGCTAGTATATATATATTTTAGAATTCATAAAAATGCTTAACATGGCTATGTAATTTGCACTGAGAAATTGCTGCATGGTTGGGAAAAATCTCTTGGAGCTATTTCCTCAATAACTTTATGCTAATAGTGATTTTTTTTTTCTTCTTTTGTCTCAATGGTTTTTGTAGTATTTGAATTGGACTTGACGTTGCAGGGTTTATTGCAATGCATGCTACTATTGCGAGCCGAGATGTGGACTGTTGCTTGATTCCAGAGTCACCCTTTTATCTTGAAGGAGCAGGAGGACTTTTTGAATATATAGAGAAGAGACTCAAGGAAAATGGGCACATGGTTATTGTCATAGCCGAAGGTGCAGGACAGGAGCTTCTTTCTGAAAGTTTGCGTTCTAGTCATCAGCAAGATGCTTCCGGAAACAAGCTTCACCAAGATGTTGGGCTTTGGATATCTCAGAGTATCAAGGTTTGTTTCCTGTTCCTAATTATTTTGTGTATTCATGCGCTTGAAAATGTTGATGCATGCAGATTTTGTTAGAAACATGGGCTGTATTTGCCAGAGAATTAGGAGTTCCTATCGTAATGCATGACCATTTAACAGGGGGATTCACTGCAAATACTAGTGTACTATGCACACACCCCCACATATGCTGTTCTGTGTGTGTGTGTTTCAAACTAAATTTCTAAAATTTTACCTGTATGTGAATGAATATCTTTGTTTGCAGGCATACTGTTTTGAACTTCCTCTTCCTTTATGTAGTGTTTGGTTCATTAGAATGAAATAAAATGGAATGGAATGGTCATTCCTTAGCCTCCCTATTTAATGACTATTTCCTTACAATAGTAAATGATGATTTCATTTGTAATACATTTTCCATCATTTTTTTAGCAAACCAAATGTGAGAATGGACATTATGTTGGAATGATTATTTCATTAATCAATCAGAGCATTAAAGTCTAGGGTTTGAGTTAATGGTCCAAAGAGCTGTCAAGAATATGAGAGGCCATTTTATTTCTGCCAGCTGGTCCTTGATTTTCATATTGGTTTTGATCCAATCTGCTAGTGTTTTGTTATTACTACAGTGCCACCAGTTAATGCCTTTAAGCATTATCCAAATGGTTTTTGCTTTGGAGCATCCTCTAAGTAGGTGGTCCATGTCTTCCCTTGCTGCCATGCATCTGGGGCAAATATCTGAATCAGAAAGGTTCCTGATAAGCCGCATTTGGTTTGTTAATAGTTTGCCATGCATTACCAACCAGAGAAAACTTTTCAGTCTTTGAGGGGCTTTAATTTTCCAAATCCATTGCCAATCTTGCCCATTGTCATCTTGTTCAGAGATAGCCTTGTAGGCAGCTGAGGTGGTGTGATTACCAGTAGGAGAGCCCTGCCATAAAGGAGTATCCATGAAGGTTACAAATCTGGGTCTATATATGCTTAGGATATTGTCCTTATCCTGTTGGGAAATCAGGTCTTGTATTGGTGTGAGGTCCCAGCCTCCTTCATCATTAAGGATGGAGCTGACCCGTGTTGTAGTATTGATGTGAGGTCCTTAACTGCTGTGGCAAAGGGGAAGAGAGCCACACCACCAATCATTCCAGAGTGAAATTTTTTCTCCATTACCTACACTCCATTTGATGTTCTGCTCTAGCACATGTCTGTTCTTTATGATACTTTTCCATGTGTGAGAAGCTGGTCTTTTGTTTGGCCAACTGGACAGGGAGTGCTTTGTGAGGTACTTTGATTTGAGGATAGAACACCACAGGTCTGTAGAATTACTTGCAACTTTCCAACCCAGCTTAGAGATTAAGGCTGAATTTTGTTCTCTAGCCTTCCTAATGCCTAGGCCTCCTTGTTTCTTACTTTTGCAGACATTTTGCCAGTTGACTAGATGGACTTTCTTAGCATTTTCAGTGCTTCCCCAGAGGAAGTTTCTATTGAGTCTGTCAATTTTATCGCAAATATTACGGGGAAGTTCCATAGTCTGCATCAAATGGTTAGGAATGGCAGAAGTGACAGCTTTGATAAGGGTGGTCCGACTTGCAAGAGATAAGTTTTTAGCTTTCCATCCAGATAGTTTGCTTGACATCCTATCTATGATATCCTTGGTGTGAAGGTTGGTGATTCTGCCATGCAGAATGGGGGTTCCAAGATACTTGCCCAAATCGTTAGTTAAGGTCATGCCGCATTGGTAGCTCAGAGGAAGGGCTTCTCTTCTAGGGATGTTGGGGGAGACATATATTTTTGACTTTTGAAAGTTGATTTTTTGTCCATATATTTCACAAAATTCAGAGAGAACTTCCATGATACAGTCACAATTATGTCTATTGGCCTTGGCAAAAAGAATTAAATCATCTGCAAAGAAAAGGTGGGAGATAGGTGTGCTGTGTTTGGAAGCTTTGAGGCCTGTCCAGTCACCACTAGCAGTTTTAAGATTGATCATGTTAGACAAGTTTTCCATACAAAGAGCAAAGAGGTAGGGGGAAAGGGGGTCTCCTTGTCTAAGTCCCCTTCCCACAGGGATGTTTGGTAGGGTCTCCCCATTCCAAATAATAGCTGAACTAACATTAGAAACACAACTCATAATAATAGTAATCCAATCAGGTACAAGTTTGAATTCCTTGAGTGTGTGAAGAATAAAGTTCCAAGAGATGCAATCATAAGCTTTTTCGAGATCAATTTTTAAAACCATACCACCATTAGTGCCTTTTTTCTGTCTAAGGGTGTGGATAATCTCTTGGGTTATGATGATGTTATCAGTGGTGGTTCGACCAGGAATGAAGCTGCTTTGGTGGGGACTGATGAGGTCAGGGAGAAGAGGTCTGATGCGGTTGACAATGATTTTTGTGATGGTTTTGTAGAGGACATTGCACAGACTTATTGGTCTGAATTGTTTAATGGACTCGGGTTCTTGAGCTTGGGGATAAGAACAATCAGGGCTTCATTGATCTCCTGAGGGATGTTTTTAGTACTGAAGCAGTGTTTGATGAAATTACAGACAGAAGGACCAACAGTGTTCCAGAGTTTATGATAAAAAACAGCTTGGAGACCATCTTTACCTGGGGCTTTGTAGGGTTTTATGTTTTTGATGGCATTCCAAATCTCAAGGTTACTAATAGGGTGGTTGAAACTGTTGTTGTCTTCTCTAGTAAAGGTAACCTTAGCAATGTTAATCCAGTTTTCTAGCCTGAGAGTTTCCTCATACTTGAACAGGTTGGTAAAATGGTCAGTGATATGAGATTTAAGGTTATCAGTGTTGGTTATCCAATTACCACCCTCATCCTTAAGAACATTGATTTTTAGTTTCCTGCGTTTGTTAAGGGTAGATATATGAAAAAATCTAGTGTTTCTATCACCCAAAGTAAGCCACTTAACTCTGGATTTTTGGAACCAAAGCAGTTCTTCTTGAAAGAGGGTAGCATTGTATTGGGCGATGAGGTCTTTCTCAAGTAAGAAGAGATTATGAGAGTAAGATTGGGCTTGGGATTTTTGAAGACCCTCTATGCGGGCAAGTAAGTTTCTCTTTCTTTTAAAAATGTTTCCAAATGTTTCTTTATTCCAAATTTTCACATTATGGGTAAAATCACGGATCGCATTAATAAGGCTGTGGTCCATGTTCCACCAGGATTGTTGAACAACATCCTTAAAGTTAGGATGACAAAGCCAAGCTGCTTCAAATCTAAATGGTCTGTTTAGAGGGTTGAGAGGATGCATACCTTGAGTGTAAACAACTAGTGGAGAGTGATCTGAATATGTTCTTGGCAGAGTCCTTACTGTGCCTTCAGGGAAAAGAGCTCGCCATTTGTCATTGCTCATAGCCCGATCAAGCCTTTCCATGGTGTTTGCTAGCCCTTGTTGATTGTTGGTCCAGGTAAGTCTAGGTCCCACACTCCCTAGATCCATGAGACTGCAGTTGTTAATTCGTTCAGAGAATTTTTGACATCTATTGTTGTGGTGGTTAAGGGTAAAGCTCCTTCTTTCATCTTGGCTAACAAAGTCATTGAAGTCCCTAGATACTAGCCATGGTTTATCCATGTTGCATGCTATGTCTTCAAGGTTATCCCAAAGGGCTTCTCTGTTGGAGGGATTCGGGCTAGCATAGACTGCCGAGAGAACCCATTCTTCGTAGTCTTCTTTATGAATAGTGGCTTGAATGACTTGGTTACTAATGACTGATGCTCGGACATTTACTTGTTCAGTGTCCCAAAGCATCCATATACCTCCAGCTCTTCCCACTGGATCCAGGATTGAAGCCGTAGTATATCCTAAGTTATTGAAAAAATTCCCCGTAGAGCTGAAGGGAATTTTTGGTTCCATCAGAATGATAATTCCAGGGTGGTGGTTACGGACTAGCTCCTTCATATTACGCTTAAAAGCATTGTTGCCAGCCCCACGGCAGGTCCAAGATAAAATATTGAAAGATTCCATATCAGGGTAAAGAGGAAGGGGGTCAGTAGCCATACTTGGAAGAATGTTTCGAATCCTTCTATGGTCTTGATCAATTGATCTCATGGATGCCATCTGGAGCGAGTGAAACGGAAGCCCTTGTCTGGAGCTCCAGCTTGGTTCGATTCTCAGCCTTATCTGCTCTATCCACCAGGTTATATCGACGCGGTGAATTGCTTCGTTCCCTTGTTCTAACAATAGTCCTATCGGTTGGTTCTCCATCTTGTGGGTTATTACTTCTAGCAGTGGTCTCTCTTCTGGCACCATGGATGATACCGGGATCTGGAGGTTTAGGATTTCTTGTTGCTCCATCTCCGCCTGAGTATACTAGTTCTGGGCTAAGAGAGTTGGTAGTGTGTGTGGTTGGGGCGTCTACTAACATCTCCTCCTTTGAGCTAATAGTGGGTTTAGTGGTGTTTCCCAAGAGGCTAAGGTTTGCAGAGGGTGGTGTGCGTGTCAAGGTGTTATTGGTTTCTTGGGATATTTTGTCCTTTTCTAGCAGCTGGATAATGTCTGAAGCTTGGTTAGGGATATATTGTGGAGTTACCTGTGTTGCAGGTCTATTGGGAAGCATTGGGTTGGCTTGTCCAATAGGATTGTTGGAGTTTACACCCGTAGTGGTAATGTGTTTTTGTAAGTTTTGGGCTTGAGCTATAGCAGAAGATGGTTCATGATTGGAGTCATGTGGATCCTTTTCTACTCCCATACAGGTGGTCTTCCTTCCTCTACTTTGTTCCTCTTGCTCAGTTGGGGTATCCAATCCTGAAAATCGGTTGTTACTGGGGCTTGGTCCATTGGTTTGGGTCTTTTTAATGATAGTGGGCCGTCTATTTTTTTTTGTGACCATCATCCAAGGCCCATAGGTTCCATCGTCTACCTTCGGCTGGAGCAGGTTGCCGTTGTCTGACAAAACGACCGTTGGGGAAAGGTCCTTGCTTCCGGCAACGCCGACTGGATGCCCTTCCGACGGTGTGTTGGTCCGTTGGGTTTCCTGGGCTTTTGAATGTGCTGCTGAGTGCTTGCAGAGTTCTTTTCGATGGTCAACTCTGCCGCAATGAAAACAAAAAGAGTGGATGGATTCGTACTCTATATTATAGCAGTTCTTACCGAGTATAAATCGAGGGCATAAAGGCTTACGAAGATCAACTTCAATACAGACCCTAGCAAATTTGCCTCTTGTGGCCATGGCGGTTGTGAGATCGATCTTCAAAGGTTTGCCAATTTGTTTGGCTAAATTGTGCTATTATTAAGTGATGGCTGGATTGGTGTCTAAACCTTTACGTCATGTCACGTGTAACTTTATCTAACCTAAAATAAAAAATTATTATTCAAAAGCATGAGTAAGCTTTGAATCCAAGACATTGAGTTTTATTAAGAACACTCTTACCATTTAGGTAACATACATATTATGATATTAATTTTTTTATTATTTATATTTAATTTTACTTATCTGAATTATACACGTATCGTGTGTGCCACTGTCAGTGATAATTAAGTTCACAAACTTTAAATTGTATTTTCATGTAACTATTCTATCACTTATTGTTGAAGAATTTGGACAGAAAGTGGTGATGTGGGATTTTGGATGGCTCCTGTGCGGGAGTGCACAATAGTTACTGTTGTACAGTTAAATGAGTTTATTTCGAGACTTATTTCGATAATCTAAGCCATTCACATTTTAGAATACATAAAGTAGAATATACCTGCAAAAAATTAAGTTAATCGGATATCGTTTACCTTTTTATCCACTCATATTTGTATTCATTTTAATACTTTAAATTATAATTGTTATTTATTTTTGTAGATACAAATGTAAGTAGATGAAAGGGTAAACGATATCTGATTAATTTGATTTTTTGCAAGTATGTTCTACTTGATGTATTTTAAAATGTGAACGATTCGAATTAATGATATGAGCCCATTTGGCTGCACAATAGTGGCTGTTGTGCACCTTGTACAATAGCCATCCCAAATCCGGTGATGTGAGGGCTAAGTGAGCTCATTTACCGGCATTAAAGGGAAAAAAAAATTTGTAAGAGGAATAACATTTTTTATCATTTTAACTTTCACTTAAATTCTACTTTGTTCTTTCATATTTTAATTTTCACTCAAATTTTGAATGGTAAGATAATGGGAGGACCGTTTTCAAATACCAGTTGAAATTTGGACGTAATTATTACAATTAGAAGATGAGAAACCAAATTGAAATCTAAGTGAAACTTCAAGGGTGGAAAATGTATTTTTACACTACTTTTTATTAATAACATTGAATTTGAAAAAAAAGAAAAGAAAATAAAAGACGTTTCTATACACGTTGAATATAAATAATTGCAAATGTTTGTTAGATACCAAAAAGATAAGAAGGTTGTTGTATCTACGAGACGTTTAATACTAATGTTGGCCAACATTTTTTTTTCTTTCAACTTGAACTCTAATGCTGTGTTTGATTAAGCGATTTAGAGAGGGATTTGGAATGAGAAAAGGAAAAAATGTGTGAAACTAGGTGAAATATAGGTATATTTTATTCACATTTCACCTAACTTTTTCCTTTTCCTTTCCAAATCCCTCATCAAATCTCTGAACCAAACACAGCGTAAATCTCTAACATTCTCATCATCTCAAGAAACAATCAAATGGACTACTAGACCAATTACCTGTCCAACTCATCTATCCTTATTACATCGTTTTTTTAATCTTATAGTGGCAATGTGAAAATTCCTATAATTCTAGTTGCACATCATGAGTTAATTATCAAATGAAATCCATATTAACAAGTGAAAAAAGATTGGAAGTTCTAAATTAAGAGTTCTAATAGTTTTAATTGGTGTGTGGATCCCCATGTGATGTGATGTTTTAGCTTCGTTTTTTTTCTTTATTTATTTATTTGTTTATTTCTTGATTTTCCACATCATTAGTACTATTTTAGAACTCTCGAATTAGAGGGATATATCATTTCTATTAATAAGTTATTATTGTCTTGATTTGATCTAAACTAGTATTTAGTTTATGTAGAGTTTGCATTTTCTTAACAACAACATTGGATAAAAAAGATGGTCAATTTTTTTTGATCGACAAAATAAAATTTTATTAAAAATAAAGGAAGGTTACAAAAACAAAGCTGGGGGATAATGCATCAAAGTTGAAAGATGAATCCCAACCAGGTTAGCACCAAAAGCAAGTAAAATCATATGCAGGCCCAACAAAAATAATGATAGATGGTCATTTTGATAATTGTCGTGTGTACCATTGTAGTTGAAACAGCACAATACCAAACTAACATTCTCACTTTGCAACCAAAGATAAATATATATGAACAAATTACATAATAATCAACAAGGTACCTCTCAAGCCTGGTATACAACGAGTGCAACACATGTCCATCCAGTTCCAACATCAATTAAATAAATTGATAGTTGGATTGGTTTAGAAAAGTAGAAGCAAGATGGATAATAAGAGCAGCAAAGCTAAAAGATGGAGGGTTCTCAGAGGTGAAGACAACTGGAATGGCCTGTTGGACCCTTTGGACAATTTTTTTTTGATTGGCAAAAAGAAAACTTTATTGATTTAGAATCAAGGTGAAACCTTACATCAAACATCAATAAAGGTGCAAGCAAAAAAAATAAGACACTTGAAAAATGCTATAAGCATCAAAGCGGAGGCTACCATCCCAACTAGGTTGGCACAAAACCACAGCCAAATCATATGCAGCGTAATCCAGCCAACTAGTTGATGAGAACTACAACCAATTGAACAACCACCATAAGAAGTCAAAACAACACCAAAACAAAAGGCCAAAGCCACAAGCAGACCAGCACCTACCAAAACTCTGCAAGACCAATGAACCTCAGCAGCCCATGATACAATTCAACTTTAAGACTATATCATTAAAAGAAAAAGGCATACCTTTACTGTGATACTTCACCCAAAGAGCTATGTTGATTTTGATAACATCCAATATACTCAACCAATGGAATCTCTTCCCCTCAAACTTGCATGCATTCCTAGCTTTCCAAACATTCCAGATTATTGCAGCAGGAGCAGCCTCCCAAACCAATTTACTGACCCCTTTGAATTTAACTCGCTCCCACAAAATCAAAAGATTGTTGATAGACCCAGGTAATGCCCCTTGAACTCCGATCCAAGCCAAAATCTCAGCCCATATTCTCCACACTCCTTCGCAATGAGTTACCACATGATCCCTAGATTCGACTTCAGACCCACAAAAAGTGCACAAGGTGCAAGTGTTCTGATCCAATACACCCATATCTTTTAGTAACAGAGTAGTTTTGAGCTTAACTTTCCAAGCCAACCAGCTGATAAATTTCATCTTAGGAGGGGCAATGTTCTTCCATAACAAATCAGGTGACTTAACCCAGTGTTAAGATTAAGCCACTCATATACCTGTTTAACAGAGAACAAATCTGATGGAGTAGCAGTCCACCTAAGGCAATCAACTTCAGAATTAATAAGCACAAGAGCAGACTCCAACAGATGAAGAAGATGGGCAACCTCTTCCAACTCCCAAGAGAACAAACATCTTCTAAAATTCAACTTCCACTCCCCTAACACAGCCCTGTTACTATTAATGTCCTGCACTGATCCACCATTCTCTTCTGATAGCAGGAATAGCCTTGGAAACACCAACTGTAAACAGATATTCCTCAACCACCTATCTTTCCAAAACAGAGACCTTCTTCCATTCCCAATCGTGATACTCAAACTTGATTGAAAGAAATTGCACAACAGTGGATTGCTTGAAGCCACTGAAAGGATGCCATTCCAAATTCTAGAAGCCCTGAGATTTGACTCAGATACTGGTGACCAAATGCTACGATTATGATAGTACTTACTGCATAAAACCTCTTTCCAAAGGGCCCTTTGGACATTGATCTTCGAGGGTACATTATTCACAATAAAGAAATGGCTCAAGCTACTTATGCAATGGCGACTCTAGAAATTTAAGTCAGTGGTGTCAATTGAAAGGCAAAAATATCTAACGAAAACAAAAAATATATATTGTATTTTATATTATAAAATATTTTAAAGAAACAAGTAAGCCAAGATTAATTTTTATGTAGGTTCAATGTCCCATTTGAAAAAAACATAAAAGTTAGCTATTAAAATTATGGAGTTTTATATTAATGTTTAAAATGCTTTGAATAAGTTGTAATGCTTTATTTGATTTATTGGAATGAGATAAAATGGAATGTTATGATCATTCATTTAGCCTCTTTATGGAATGATCATCCCCTTACAATAGTGAATAATTATTCCATTTGTAATGTAATTTTCATTAATTATTTAGTCAACCAAACATAGTAATGAATATTTTGATAGAATAATCATTCCATTTCCTCTATTCTAAAAGTGTTTGGTACAATGTGATAAGTTGAAATTGATTTGTAAATAATTAATAAGCCTAAAAATTTGTGGGTTCAAAGTCACTTTTTTAGTGGGGTTAGTTATGATAACACATTTCTAAAACAACAATTATATGCAAAGCAAAATAAATTTTCTTCTATTGAGGGGGTTCAAGTGACACCACAAGCTATGCTGTGGCGTCGCCCCTGTACTTATGACACCTTCATCTCTAGCAATGAGTCTAAATATGCTGGAAGTAGCCAATATGTGAAGGAGGACCTCTTTGCTATGGTGGGTTTGGAGGAAGGGAATCCCTTCAAGCAACATGTGACTAAATATTTGTACTCGACATCATCAACCAAAGTCCCTGGTCCATTGATCTCAAAAACTTTAGAGGAATTAAGCAAAGAATCAAATTGGATGGGATATGTTGCGATGGCCACAGATGAAGGGAAAGCTAACTTGCAGAGGAGAGACATTGTGATTGCCTGGAGAGGAACGATCCAACCCTTGGAATGGGCTAATAACTTGCAATTTCTTTTAGTCTCAGCTTCAAAGATACTTGGAGAGGAACATGAGCCTAAGGTGCGTGGGGTATGGTACTCTATCTACAACTCAAACGATCCAAGATCACCATTCACCAAGACTAGTGTTAGAGACTAGGTAACTTTAAAAAAACCATGCTTTTATGTAGAGAAATTATATTCATAATCTAGACAAAGAATAATGTTATATGCACCAATTAGTGTATTAACTAGTATACTAATTGATGATGTGGCATAATTTAAGATATTTTTGGTATTTGTAATTTGTGTAATGAGTGAGGTTAATAATAATGTCATAACTAGTGTTGGCACACTAGTTAGTACATTAATTGATGCATATAGTTCACCGCTAAACAAATTATGAAGTGTGTGATAAAAAAAAAAGAGCTTATACTTAAGAAAAAGTAAAATACAATGATTTCTTTGGGAAGCAATACCAAAAACAATATTATTTTTTATTTCTCATATTATATTTTTGGTTCTTGGTGAGGTTAGGAGACTTGCAGAAGAATACAAGGATGAAGAAATCAGCATAACAGTAGTTGGCCATAGTTTGGGCGGAGTGATGGCAACGCTAAACGCAGTTGATATAGCTGCCAACGAATTGAACAATCCTAGAAACCGACAAAACAAGGCATGTCCTGTGACTGCCTTTGTGTTTGGCAGCCCTAGAATTGGAGATTCAAGCTTCAAAGAGGTCTTCTCTGGTTTAAAAAATGTCCGAGTCCTACGTGTCCGTAATACCCTAGATGTTGTTCCTGTTAGGATTAAACACACCCACAAATTTGGTGTACAAACAATCACACACAACAAAGACACAAATATTTACGTGGTTCAACCCACGGGAGAAAGAGAGAAAGGTTCACTGTGATCAAAACAAATACAAAAAGCTGAGGAAGAGGAGTCTCACTCTCTCAACTCAACTCACAGATGTAGGGTTTGGTAGGCAGCAGCATGGGTGAATAAATTAATCGGGTTGATTAGTATGTGTGGTTGTTGTTAAGAGGAGTAAGCTGCTTAGGTGTAAACTATTTTCCTAATTTCTTTTTAACTACTAATTTTTTAGTCGCCAAAAACATGATATTAAGTTTTATTGGTGAGGTGTGGCATTGGGTGTAGCAGCATGTTGTCCGGAGTGGGCCTTGGCTGGGTTTTGGGAGTCTAGCAGCATGGAGTATAGCAGCTTGGAGATGTCAGGCAATGGAGTTTTTCCAGCCATGGAGACGGTGGCTATGGAGTTTTTGGCCAGCGAACATCCTCGGTAGGTGCAGAGGAGCGTGCAGCAGGTTGGGGAAAAGTTTTAGCAGCAGTAGCAGGTGGGCATTGGGCGTTGGAAATTGTCAGGCGTGGGAGTGTAGCAGTGGACGTTGGGAGTTGAATCTGCATAGGTGTATGATTTAGTTTTCAAAATTGCAGGTGGGCGGTAAAGTTTAGTTGTAAATTTTTTTTTTTGGGATTTGGGTTTTGGCTGTGGCTTTGGGTTTTGTGGGCTGATTTTGTGGGTTTTTTTTTTTTTTTTTTTTTTTTTTTTGTTTTTTTTAATTTTGCTACCAAAATTTTATTTTCACTAAAAAGGACATTAGGCCTCAAATAGGCCGGGCTTTGAGTAAGTCTTAAGCGTTGGTTGTATGGATGCGAGTAGCAGTAGTAGGGGTATTTTTATACTTCCGAATCTCTCTCAAAGCATGTCGTCTTCCTGTACCTTTAATTTTATGTTGTTAATGAAATTTTTCTTTGCCGAAAAAAAAAAAAAAAAAAAAACTCAACTCACAGATACACTTCTCACAACTTTCTCCTTTCTTCACTGATGTTCAACTCGGCTTACAGCTCTTCCCATTTATAAACAAATGGAAGAGCTGCTTGCTAACAACCAACTACCAAAAAATAAATAGAGGGCCATTAACACAACCACCCTAGATTTGAAAATCTTCAGCAAATCTGTAGCCCAGATCTGCAGCCTTCATTCTTGACTACTAAAAAACAACTTCACATGGTGTGGATTCAACAGTTCCAAACTGTCTATTGATAGGATACTCAGAAGTGGGTGAAGAATCGGAGATTAATACTACCTAGTCGGAGTACTTGAAGAGTCTTGGAAATCTGCAAAGTTGGCATAACTTGGAAGCTTACTTGCATGGTGTTGCAGGTACACAAGGATCAAAAGGAGGATTCGAGTTGGAAATTTAACACGATATTGCACTTGTTAACAAACAATCAGATGCTTTAAATGATGACAATTTTATACCACCTTCATGGTGGTGTGAGAATAATAAAGGTATGGTTCAACAACCAGATGGCTCTTGGAAGTTGATGGACCATGAGTCGAATGACAATTTCTGAATGTATTGAATTGTTCAAAAACAATCATTGAACCCTAAGCTATATATCTAATTATTAAATAAATAGAATAAGCTGTTATGTGACGAAGTCTATCGTTGGAAATGGTTGATCATTGGCAATGGATTATGATTTTTCATCACTAAATTCTTCTTTTCTTCTACAAAATTATTTGGTCAGCAATATATACCTTAATGAGTTCACAAAATTATTTGCATACAATTAATGTGACATTTTCTGTCTAATTTTGAACAAAATTAGTTTTAAGAGTAAACTGAGACAAACTTGAAATATGAAAGGCCAAGTAAAAAAAAAAAAAAAAAAACTTTAAGGGCCAAAATGAGAAAATAGTTAGCATATGATAGGGTGTTTGTCTAGTTGGGATGAAGGGATACTCCGTGATACTTTTTGCTCTTTGCCTTCGCTTTATTGATGTTATCCATATTTTAAGTATGTTTGATGCTATCAATAAAGCTGTAAAGACAAAATAATAATAATGTATCATATGATAATAAAGTTTTAAAGACAAAATAATAATAATGCATATGAACAAAATATAATAAAAAAATCTCAGCTACAACACTACAATATATTAAAAGTTTTAAGACAAAAATTTAGAGATAATATCACTTTTTAAGAATAAAATATTTTATTTGTCAAAAGTATTATCATTGAATTTTTAGCAAAAAAATTAAAAATTTAGTGATGAATTATTATTCTTTCGTGTTGTTGGATTAGATGTGTTTCATTGGTAATTATTCAATAGTAATTGGATGTTTTACGGGTAATTATATGTTGAATTATGTGTAAAAAAACCATAATACTTAGTTCCTTAAGTGCATGAAAGTGCTAGGTACGTTGATAGCCCAAAAGGTACAACAATCAACCACTCATGAAAACCCTCGCGAGTTTTGAATAGAGTCTTCCATACATAAATTTCTTACAAATGAGATCAAACCAATTGCCCATTAAACTAGACGCTAAGTTGTGATTTAATTCTCCCATTTAATTATAAGACCTTTTCACATCCATATTTCAATTTCTTTCATTTATGTTCTGGAATACATATCAAACATAAAAATAAACAAAATAAGAATAATTTAACAATCAGTTTAAGGAGAATGTGATGGATTTATTCATTCTTTGCCCTCATCTTAGGAATGATTATAGGTATGCCAAAATTAATAATGTAGTTTTCATTGGAAAAAAAACTGAGGAATTGTTTGGCTGTACTGTCATTTATTTTTTCATTTTTTGTGTTGTGGCATACAAAAAAATATTACAAGCTTAAACCACCCATTGTTTAGATTATCAATTTACTTTGGTGCGAACAAATTTCAAAAATTCAAAAATAATTTTTTGGTGTTTCCTAAAGTGTGCTATTTTCACAAAATTTTCTCAAAAATATTTTTAAAACACGGTTTTTTGTGTGTTTCAAAAAATAAAAACAAAAAATAGAAACCAAACAGGTTAGATTCTTTAACTATGGTCAGGTCTATTGGATTAATGAAACATACTACCTACCAACTTTTTTTTTGGGACAAGCCAGACTTATTGCAAAAAAAAAAAAAAAGAAGCACTAAAGGGCGATAAGCAAAGCTCGAAGGAAAGCTTGACAACAACATCGAATCCAAAACCTAAGCTACTACACAAAATTCCACATACACTCATATCTAGGTTGATAAAACATAATTTAATTAATGAAACATTTACTTATGAGTACATAAACAACTCCAATTAAATTATAGAGATTAAGTTTTGATCAGTTTCTCAGCCATATTAAATATCAAGAAAATGTACCTAAAAAAAAAAAATATCAAGAAATCATCTTTTTGATGATTTCGCTCATGGTCCATCAATTTCTAAGAGCTTAAGAACTCATCTTCTGGATTATCTGGCTCATGGTCCATCAATTTCCAAGAACCGTCCGCTTGTGGAACCATGCCTTTGTTCTTCTCAACTCGCCAAGAAGCTGGTACTTAATCCTTGTGTACCTGCAACACCGTGTAGGTAAGCCTCCAAGTTATGCCAACTTTGGAAATTTCCAGGACACTTCAAGTACTCTGACTTGGTAGTGTTAATGGCCAATTTGTCACCCACGTTTTTGTAGCCTATCAATGGAACCTTTGGAGCAATATCAAGGGCATTACGAACACCTAGAACTCGAAGATCTTTCAAACCTGATAAGATTTTTTATGAAGCTTGAATTTCCAACTCTAGGGCTTGCAAACACAAAGGCGGTGACACGATAGGCCTTGTTTTGTTGGTTTATAGACATGTTCAATCCATTAGCTACTATGTCAACTGCATTTAGGGTTGCAATTGCTGCACCCAAGCTGTGGCCAACTATAGTTATTCTGATTTCTTCATCCATGTGTTCTTCTACAAGTCTTTCGACCTTTTCAAGAACCTAAAATATAATATGATGAAAATACAATGTTAGTTTGACATTTTTCTCAAAAATTAAAGAAATTCTTGTCCACTATCTCTATCAAACAATAATGTTAGGGAGCCAGAAATTACCATAAAAAATAATGAGAATATAAAACGTGTTCACATTAATGCTCCAGAGCTCAGAAAGTTACCCAAAGGTGTGGAGAAAATAAAATGTGTGCACCACATTCATTCAGAGTGTGCCCGTATCACACTAAGTTTGAATCTATACATGTTTTTCATTTTTGGCAATCTTTGAAGTGTCTATTTTAGGCTCTGCAGCTATTTCATTCTGAAGAGATTTTTTTTTTTGGGAAAATAAAACTTTATTGATGAAATCCAATGCACACCAATAAAGAGAAGGCTAGTGTAAAAACATTACTTCATAAATAAATGATTTATCAAATTTACCTGGTCTCTAGCACTAGTATTAGTGAATGGTGATCTTGGATCATTTGAAGTGTAAATTGAGTAAAATCCTTGATGCACCTTAGGATCATCATCTTCCTCTCCAAGTAGCTTTGAACGTGGGACTAAAAGAATTTGCAAGTCATTAACCCATTCCAAGGGCTGGATTGTTCCTCTCTAGGCAATAACAATGTCTTTTCTCCCCTGTTTAGCCTTCCCTTTATTTGGTGAAATTGTTAGAACAATCTTCCATGTATATAAAATAAACTAAAAATAATTCTAACAAAATAAAATAAACTTACAGAAATTATTTTGTTGAACCGAATCAATAATTAAAGACCAAGTCCAGTGTGTGACACTCTGTCCTTAAGACAGATTCGCCCCGCTACGGTGCTTACGGTTGAGTGGCGTCTATCTCCCAGGATACAATGATCTTCACAAATTGTAGTAGCACTCCAAACAATTTGTTCGGCGAACCAAACCTGTGATCTATACTCTCTTTAATTTATTCTAAAACTAAATATGAAGAATAAATGCACTAGAGAAAAATTGGACAGCAATTTAGACAATCTGCAGGCTGATTTTCGGAATCAATCAAAATTGGAATGGGGCTGCCTTTATATAGGCTTTGTTGGCACCTATTCAATTTGAATAGAAAAGGTATGAAGAAGGGACATAACCCTTCCTTTAAAATAAAGAGACACCATGAAAGGTTTGCACCCTTTCATTCAAATGGAGGTTTGACCCTTCCTTTAAAACAAAAAGACACCATGAAAGGTTACACCCTTTCATTCAAAATGGAGTCTATTTCAATTCACAACTACGTCTTTATAAATTTTCTAATAGTCCCCCACATGAATGAAATTGACAGAGAGAAAATGCAACAACATGATGTAAATACAGAGAGTACAGAAATTGGTAATATTCTACAAAGGATAGGTATCTTTTGGCTTTGAACCTTCCCTTGTAAGACACTATCGGATTTACTAGCTTACCAGTGAACATGATGTCTTGAACTGTTCAGCCGTTTGTGTAAACCAAGACAATAGAACGCACACAGTATATTCACAGACACAGTTTAGTTCTCACTATTGTGTTCATTTTGGCCCTAAACAACCTGGTCTTTCATGAGTGCTCTAGAGAATTGTAGCCCTTCACAAATCTAATAGAACCGGCTCAGTTCACACTCACATAGGTGATTCTTATGAAGAGTATCCTGCTATACTCCACTAGGTTAACTTAGATATAAGAATCATTAAAAGTTTTACTTAACCTAAAACGCTGTAGACATCACTATTTCATCATAGAAATGGGTAGGAGTTAGACTCCCTAGTCATCCTTCTGAGTCATTCACAACTCGGTTGTCCCTTTGAACCTAGATCTTGGGATCTCCAGTCAACTAGGTTGGGTTGCCGTTGTGGTAACTCTTATTTAATAGGCTTAAGTCCCATTTCCCTCGATGAATTCTTAACTAACTCTCTTGCTAACCCTTTGGTTAGTGGATCCGCTATGTTGTCTTTAGACTTAACATGTTCTATGAAAATAATTCCATTAGAGAGCAGTTGTCTCACGGTGTTATGTCAACGACGAATGTGTCGTGACTTACCGTTATACATATGACTCTGTGCTCTACCTATAGCTGATTGACTATCACAATGTATGCATATAGCAGGCACCGATTTTGGCCATATTGAAATATCTTCAAGGAAGTGGCGAAGCCATTCTGCCTCTTCCCCTGCTTTGTCTAAAGCTATGAATTCTAATTCCATAGTAGACCTAGCAATGCAAGTCTGTTTGGAAGATTTTCAAGATACAGCCACCCCATCAAGAGTAAAGACATACCCACTGGTGGACTTTGAGTCTCTAGTATCCGATATCCAATTTGCATCACAGTATCCTTCAAGTACTGCTGGATATCTAGTAAAATTCAGCCCAATGTTACGAGTAAATCAAAGATATCTTAGAACCTTTATAATTGTTTTCCAGTGTTCTACTCCTAGGTCACTCGTATATCTACTTAATTTACTTACTGCATAAGCTATATCTGGG